TTGGAGTGGAGTGGAGCTGACCAGAGCCTTGGGTCTGGCCCCTAGCTGAAACCAGGAGTTCTCGTCCTTGGCTGAAGCTCCAGCGACGCAAGTTGAGAGCCTGTGTTGACTGTTGGCGGGATCTTGGGACACAGCAGCTGGATGGTGCACTGTGTCGGCTAGCTCAGCGCTAGTAGCGGTGGTTTGAGCTTTGCCAAGGAGGATCGTGTCAAGTTCGCATTCAGCCCCCTGGATTTGGTATAGCGTGGATATCCTTTGTTCCAGCTCGATCACTTTTTGGCGCAGGTTGATGCAGCTTTCACAGCTGGATGTTGAGGTAAGTGGTGCCATTCCGGAATCTCGTACCGGCGACAGCGTCAAAAACAAAGACGGACACTGCCACTTTAGCTTACGTTAGCTAAACTCCTTTGCTAGCTTGTTCACAGACAGCAGTTCACTGAGGTCATTAAAAAAGTCTGTGCAGTATTTGGGAGGCCTGTAAACATTAAGAAACACAACTTTGGATGGGGCCTTCAGCTGTAAAGCCACATATTCAAAAGACTGAAAACTTCCAGCAGATAGCTGCTTACATTGAAATGATTCATTAAATAAGACAGCAACCCCTCCAGCTTGTTCGAGTTCGGGTCGTGGGGGCAGTCGGAAGTTCAGACTTCCCTGATAGTCTCATTACTGGATCTGCCCCGGGGCCTCCTCCCAATAGGACATCAAATGACCTTGAACAAGAAAGCCTGTTCTGCTGTTCAGTACAGTACAGTAAACCACAGCACCTAGGAGTTGCCCAGGAGGCATCCTAGTCACATACTCAAACCACCTGAACAGAGTTTGATTTGCACGGTCAGATTTTGTGGAGGAGAAGCGAATGTGTACAGCATAGTTTTTGTTGGCAGGGCTCTAGAGTGCATCACAAATGTGACCAAATTTTTCAATGGTGCGACTAAAATAAACCTTAGGTCACACCAGTGCAACCAGCTGTTCGAGTAACAAAAAAAAAAAAAAAAAAGTCTCTGCAACTCTGAAAGTCCAGATATTCCTGTAGTCTTTAGAACATGTTTGAAAGTGCAGGTGGATAGAGGGAGTTGAGTATCTTGAATTAAGCGATATTGATTCATTAAATCCTGAATAGAGTTTTAAATATAAATGTATTTTGCCAGAAACGCGAGAATCTCAGGTCAAAGCTCACAAAACTATTTCAACAACCACCAAACAGCAAATGAGAGAGCAGGTAAACAGATTCCACACAAAGACGTAAACACAGAGCGGACCCGACACATCAGAATCAGCTTTCTCTTTCTCGGCTTTCTCACCCAACGGCCTGTACACGGACACACCGTCGGGGCTGAAAGCCGACAGCTCACTGATTCTGATGCGTTGGTGGGTCCGCGCTTTGTGTTTACGTCTTTTTTTTTTTTTTCTTGATTCTGAGTAGCAGGTTTTGTTTCTCTCAGACCAAAATTCACTGATCCAGCAGCAAAAGAAGCAGCAAACTGCGCTTCACATTTGATAAACATCGTCATTAATTCCCTCTGACATTAGGGCTGTTCGATATAACGATATATATCGAATGACGATATAAAAACATCTATCGTTTCATTTTACGCTATCGTTTGTTTCGTGGTATCGCAAAATAAACTGTTTACGGTAATATTTTTTAATATTTCTCTTATATTTTAATATAACCACACTACGTACGACAAGCGCCTGTTTTTATGCGCTGTCGTTAGCAACAACGACGGTAACACCATCGTGTGTCCGCTTGTTTATGTTCCACATAAACCTTTCACAATAAAGCTCAAGATCCTGTTGAGACTTTTCAAAATAAACTGAATCACGTGAAAGAGCAGATTATTTACGGATGAGAAGTAAAAAAAAGAGCCGCCAGGTGTTAAAAAATAAACCTTAGACTCAAACGTTAGAACAGGCGAGCTGCCCAAGATTCACAGAATTTACAGAAAATGTTACATTTTTGTGATTTATATCGTTATCGGACGATAGAATTCTTATATCGGGATATGAGATTTTGGTCATATCGCACAGCCCTATCTGACATTGGCTGTTTTGCTTCCACCACGATAAAAATCACACTTCATGCACAGCTGTCTCTCTCACTCTCTCACTTTCCCGTCTCAAATCTCTGTTTTGTGCATTATTCATTTGCTCATTACCCACCAGTCTACCGTTGTTTACAGCGCTGTCGGTTGCCGTCTATTTATTTATTTTTTATACCTCAAATGACCTCGAACAAGAAAGCCTGTTCTGCTGTTCAGTACTGAAGAAATGTAAACTTTATAAAATTATGCAAAATCGCAGAATATCTTTAAGGTTATCTGCTATAAAAAGCCAGGCCACGAAAATTTCCTTCATGTCATAGAAATCAGTGATGATACCCAGCCCTAGTGAGTAGCCTAGGCCCAATAGAAGTGGATGTAGCTGTGGGTAATAAGAAAAGATGAAAAGAACTATTGATAACTTTTTTGTTAAGTCCTGATCCGTCTGAAATTCATAGCCAGTGCTCTGACACAGAGCCATCAACCTCTGAACGCTGAAAAAGCACAATGTATCCAGAAAGCGCATTATATGTCGTGATGAATGCACTGCGCAAGTGTCCCCTCTCACCACTGCCTTTCAGTGGCAGGCAGCAGCAAACAGGTCGTCAGAGGAGGCTGATGTGATGATTAAGTTTAATATTGTCTACAATATTGCCAAAGAGTGCCAAAGCACTTTAAGCACAAACACAAGATTGTTAGTTAATCATTTACAAATCAATATTGTCTTTATGGACATCAATTTCCCCCCCAAAACTATACAGTGTTGGAAGGAAATTGAATGCAAAACAATAACCAATATGCACATACAGGTAGAAATCTACAGGACTACATTTCCAAAATAAGAAATCCTTGGCTAAAGGCCACACTAGGTGTTTGGAAAATGGTGGCAAAAGAAATAAGCTGCAGAAGAATATAAAACTATTAAAATGGTGTGCATATGATTCGGAATTTACACCAAATCATGTAGACCCTAGTTTTAAAAACTGGATAGGTAAAGTAATTACATTGATATGCGGTATTGTAAAGGAAGATGAAATTGTGAGTTTCCAAACTTTAAAGCAAACATTTCATTTAGAAAACCAAAACCACTATAGATACTTACAGTTAAGAAACTTTTATACTCGAAACATTAAAAACCAAATACCCACTACAGCGAGGCCATTTATCCAACTCTTTTTAAATGCTCATAAGTCAGAAATTAGGAAAGGTGTAATCTCACAAATATACAAAAGTCTTCATGATCTCAGCAATTATTCAACCAAGTATATAAAAGAAAGATGGGAGAAAGAGGGAGGTCTGGTGATCACAGAAGAGGAATGGCACAACATTTGTTCTTTTCATTGGAGAAGAACAAAATCACATATTTGGAAGTTCTGCTAGAAAAGTTTTGCTTGTTTTTTCATTACCCCAGCTTTAAAGGCACATTATGATGATGGAAGTTGTGAATGTTGGAGGAACTGTGGCTACGAAACCTCACACCACTACCATATAATTTGGGATTGTAAGAATATTAAGAATTACTGGATAGAAGTCCATAAAGTGATGCAAAACATATTTAGTACATATTTACACTTTGATTTCAAATCCATATTTTTAGAATACATACCTCAGACATAAAGGGTATGGATAAATACTTACTTTGTGTGCTGCTAGCTGCAAATAAAAAGGCACTGACCAAAAGGATCCACCAACATTAAACAGCTGTATTGATGTAACTTTGGAGATTCATAATACGGAAAAGATTACTTTTTTATAGTGAATTTTGAGTATGAGAAATATGTAAAACACTGGGGAAAATGGCTCCACTGTGTGAGTTCCATAAGGCCATCATTGATCATCAATATCATTGATATTCATCACTGAAGGACTGGCTGTCTAAATATTTGTTTATTTTGTTTGTTTTTTATAATAACGTACTAATCTGCTACTTAGTGTGTTGGCTTTTCAATTGCCCTCTCTCTGGATGTATATAGTTACAAACTGTATCTAGTGGCATTTGATTAAAGCATTTATTCAATACATTTCGTATATAGTTTCAGTTAGGTTGTTACACATATGAGAGTGGCTTCTGTCTGGTAAGAGGTCATGAGTTTAGTTGGCGAGGGGAGACAGAGTGCATTTGAGGTCGAGAGACACACACACACACACACACACACACACACATAGTAGGTAGACTCATTTCTAGGTAAGAGTTCAGGCCTAGTTTGCAAAAAAAAGTGTACATGTCAAACTGCAGTGTTAAGTGAGGCGCTTGAAAAATTTGAGTGTGCCTAACTAAGGTAGTCATCTACCCTGCTGAAAATTGTCTCATTCAACTAGTTCAACTCCAACAAAAGCATTTAGATTAAACTTAATCCTATATCATCTCTTAGGAGAAGCAGGAAACTTTATGCTTGACAGAAATAGTTTTATTTAAATGGAGATTTTCCCACATCGCCCTGTTAGAAGAAAGCATTTAACTTGGGTATATTTCAACACGAAATGAAAGTTTTTACTGTCAATACTGCCTGTGACCTCTGATTTCTTGTTTTAGAGGAGAGTTTCAATTTTGTGATGGTGGACGAGGTGGGAGAGACTGTGGAGAAGAAGGCGGTAATTACCAGGACAAGAGGTCGACCCAGGAAGAGAACCAGGCAGACCCCGGGTCAAAATGCACCAAAATGTAGTTTGTAACGTATTCTGAATACTTTGGATTACTTAATATACTGTCATTGCTTTTCACAACTACATGAATGTAGCAATCACATCCTGCAAATTCCTGTTTGTTTTTGGCTTGTAAGCCCAAATCTGTCTGAATAGACAATATCAAATCAAATCAAATCACTTTTATTGTGACATCACATGTGCAGGTACATTGGTACAGCACATGATATATATATTTACTGTAGGGGAGAAAAGACTTATGTTAACATAAGATAAGATGTTTGCTCGGTGGCGAGTAGCCTTCAGTAATAGTAATAAGTCACGTAGATACTGAAGTGGCACATAACCCAGGAAGCTACCACAACTAAAGCAAGGTAGTTGCAGCAGGCTAACGTTAGTTTTTAAAAAAGAACTTCCAGATGTTTCTTTAGGTTGGAGCCTTTAGACCAGGGGTGTCAAACTCAATTGCACAGGAGACCAAATATCAAGGCACACTTTAGGTCGCGGGCCAAACAAGATAAACATTTATTGAACACTAAAACAATGTTTTTTAAACATGAATATGAATTAAAAACAGACAGGAATATTATTCCAGATTAAATAAACTTAAAAAAAATAAACTTTAATTTTAAATATTTTGCTCTCCATAAAAATATATCCTGTCAAAATTCTGCAAGTTAGAAATATGAACATGCTGCCAAAACCCCAGAAAAAATAAATGAAAGCAAACACAAGGTTGGAGCCGCATGTAGACGGAGCTGGGCACTGCTTCAGGAGTGGAACTAATAACCCAAGGGCCATTCAGTGTTTAGTTGATGGTGTGTCGTACTTTTCCTTGAGAACTCTCCCATTAGAATGCAGCTCCATCTGAATCTGCACAGGTGCAGTTTCCATCCTGCTGACTAGTCCCCTTTTTTTCACCGTACAACACCGGCGCTCCATCTGTTGTAAGTCCAACAAGTTTGTCCCAGGGCAGTTTCATGTCGGTTACACTTTGACATACGTTTCTGCTCAGGCTCACATTTGCCAAAATCTGCGTTTTGTCTGGACACAAGACGTCGCACAGCTTCATCATGCAGCTCTTCAGAGTGGTAGCGGGCTGATGTGGCTTTCTCCTCTGATGCAATAAAACTTGCTTTCACAACAGCTTCACTTTGTGATTTTGCTCTGGTGAAAAAAGTCTGCTGACATGTCAGATTCTTCTTTAGCTCTTCTACTTTCTGTAGTTTCTTCTCTGCATTTAGGTTTTTCAGCTTATCCTGACGTTTTGTCTCGTATTAAATTAAATTCCTTAATTACAGCTACATTAGCTCCACTAATAAGACACACAGGTTTACCAGCATGTCTGTGAACATATATTCAGTCTCCCGCTGCCGGCACTGAAAGGCTCTGCTTTCAGAATCAACTTTCCATCTCTTGTGCTGTCTCCGGGTCGTGTAACTGACGCACATACACAGGATGCTTACATTAGACCCTCTTATTGTGCGTTTTGTTTGGGTTTCCAGCAATGTACCAAAAGTAGAGAGGGCCTAACATATGAAACAGAAAAATACTGCAGTTTAATCCATTTATTTCAATAAATTATCACCTATTTAAGCGGTAACTATAATGGAATACAGTTACTCATATTTTGTATTTTAAATATGTAACATCCGTACATATATTCTCCAGTGGCTGGCATCTGGGATAAAGTCGTGTCAGAGCTCTGAGACATGAAGCTTAATTAATCTGTTGTTTCCTCCCACAGTGAGAAAATCTGCTAGAGGGAAACCAGAGAGCACAAAAGAGACGGAAGAGGAGGAAACAACAGAACCACTGCTTCCAGCTTCTGTTAATCCCACTTTATCACAGGACCGAGACTCATCTGCGCCGCCAGGTGACGGCCAGGCGGAGAGCCAGAGGACCGAAGAGGAAGCAGAGACCCAGCCTGATGCTGCACCTGCCCCTGCTGGACAGCAGCCAGAGTCTCAGTGTCCTGATAAGGAGACAGAGCAGGGAGAGGAGAAGGATGGATGGAGCACGGTTGGCATTAAAGGTACAAAGAGCTGCTTTAAATCAACAAAATGCATCACTCTGACAGCGAAAACACAGTAAACTGAATATTAAAAGAAAAATTGTATAGCCTGCTTCTGTTAGCCTACTAATAGCTTTGAGATGCATTTCCACTACCTTGTGGTGGTGGTAATATGTTTTGTGGTTGGTGCTAAAGGCCCCAGTGTGTGCCAAGAATAATACAAGGGAGGATGGATCCAAGCTTTCTGACCCCGCCATCCTAATGTCACAGCAGAAATGGAGACTTTTTTTTTCTTTTACAGCGTTGCTGATCCTGTGTGAATTGGTCCCTCAGTTTTACGTTCTTAGCTTAGAGAAGTGGAACCCAGTGTGGTCTTCTGCTGTTGCAGCTCATCTGCTTCAATGTTGGATGTGCTGTGTGTTCAGAGATACTCCTCTGCATACCTTGGTTGTAATAAGTGTTTATCTGAGTTATTACATTCTCATCTGAACTCAGAAGTGCATTTTCTTCCAGTGAACTGCTGCTCATTTTCTCTTTCAGACGATTTTGTGTAAACCCTAGAGATGCTTCTTTGGGAAAATCCCATCAGTGAAATGCTAAGATTAGCAAACATGCCACATTTAAGTCCACTAAATTACTTTTCTTCTTCATTCTGATACTCAGTTTGAATTTCAGCAGGTCATCTGACCATGTCTACATACCTACATCACTGAGTTGCTGCCATGTGATTGGCCGATTAGAGATTTACATTAATGAGCAGTCAAACAAGTGTACCTAATAAAGTGGCTGACAAACATTTCACCTTTTCAAATAAATCAAAAATCATTTGTTTAATTACTTAAGTTATAATTTAATATTTTATAAACCCGGTGGCTCCTGCAGCAGATTTGTTGATGATTAAGGTGTTGCTCTTTCCATTTTCAGTTGTGGGTAAACGCAGGAGGGAGCTTGTCGGACCTGAGGCAAAGCGATCTCGCTCTCAGTCTCCGTGTGTTGTAGCAGACTTCAGACTGCCTCAGTTCAACCCCAATAGCCCCCTCGGTGAGACACACACATAAACACACACGCACACGATTCAAATGCTGTGTTAACACTTGTCTAATTTTCCTGTTTCTACTCCTCTGCAGGTCAGGAGTTTGTGATCCCAAAATCAGGATTTTTCTGTAACATCTGCTCTGTTTTCTACCTGAATGAGAAGACCGCCAAGGAACTCCACTGCTGCAGCCAGAAACACTACAACAACCTGCAGGTACGCATGCGCACACACCATTCAGTACACAAAATCACACTCTTGGCCTAACGATGTTTGGTTTCTCACTTTTCTGTTTTTTTTTGTAGAAATATTATGAGAAACGTCGACAAAGAGCTTCAACAACGTCATCTCAGATGTCTCAAGGCTCCGTTTCTGACTGATGGACCTGATCTGATTATTTTAACACATCACTGTGGAGAACAAGCCAATGTTTTTGATCCTACTAGTTCAGAAACTAAACTAATCACCAGGTGGTACCTTTTGTTGTAAATGATATGTCTTCATTCATAAATTGTCTCGCAGCCTTTCAGTTAATGTTTTGTTTTTGTTTGTACAGGCTGGTGAAGAGCACAGTTTTAAAATGTTGTTATTATTTTATCTTTTATGTGAAAATGTTATTGAAAAATTAATTAATTAACTTAACAGGTCATCAGGAGGTACCTGACAGGTGTTGATAGTATATTAAATCTTTTTTTTTTTTTTTTGGTCATTTACATCTTTGGCTTCAGTTTCTTAAGAAGAAAAGGGTCCATCAACCTGAGTGTGTCTCACATTTTCCAGACTCACTGGCTCAAGTTTGAAGCTGAACAAACCACCAAATTCGGTCAGAAGCTGTGAGGTTCAAAATGAGAAAGCTGAACTCTTGATGAGAGGTTTAAGGTTTAAGAGAATTTTAAGTGTCTGTGTCGTTGTTTTCACTCTTTAACCCAGCATTTTAACATTGAGACAGTACAATACATACCACATTTCATTACATGGCAAATCAGTGTGCTTAATGGAGAAGAACACAAAATCTTGGTTTACGATGCCTAATGGAAAACGGCAAAATATAATTTCAAAAAAACAATGTCACCATACTGCCACTAGAGGTCAGTAAATAAAGCCCAGAGTTTGTTTGAGGCTGGTTGAAGGCACTGAGATGTAAATACACTGTGTGCGGAGGTGGAGCAGTGCCTTGTGAGAACAACACATCTGCTTAACCTCCTCTCATAGTAGGTGTGGGGCTGGAGATGAGAGTGGGAAAGCACTCAGACAACCGGACACAAAGACCCCAAAACACAAACAGGACAAGTAGACCATCAGTGGTACATTTATTTAAAATAAATCAGTCCCCTCATCAGAGTATATGATTCTTTCTCACGCACCTTTGTTTTGTGTCACCCTGTTTTTTCATCTTTGCTGACACAGAATTCCTGACTATCTTTCTGGTGTGCTATAATTTTATTATTTTTATATAAGATAAGATAACCGTTATTAGTTCCACACGTGGGAAATTTGTTTCGTTACAGCCAAAACTGGACAGTGCAATGTTACAGCAGTGAAAATTTAGAAAAAATACTGCAATATATGATAATAAGAATAATATACTGTACACAATAAAACAGAATAAAATACAATTTAGTCAGAAAAAGAGAATTGCACTTCGTGTTATTGCACATGTGTGGATTTGTGTGTTTGGTCAGCTGCGAAGTCTTTGTTGTGGAGTCTGACAGCAGTAGGAAAGAAAAGACCGGCAAAATCTCTCCATCCCACATCATGGGTGCCAGAGCCTGCCACTGAAGGAGCTGCTCAGTGCTGTCAGAGTCTCCTGCATGGGCTGGGAGATGCTGTCCAACAGGGATGACGGCTTAGCCTCCATTCTCCTGTCACTCACTGTTAGAGAATTGTAGATCAATATGGTTGTCATTGTGCAAGATGATTAGATCTTTAGCAAGAATGCTCACCTCTGTTTTCTACACACTGGTTCGTTAAAAGGTTACGCCATACATGGGGTGACTAGGGACATCAGTGAAAGGTCACAGTGATATGTGGTGTAGCAGAAAATGTCACACACACACATCACAGACGTACATGTTCACATGTGAGTGTCTTAACTGTCATATGATAAATGAAATGTTTGTGTAACTACTGTTCTTGATAAAAGGACTGTGAGGGGAGGCCGAATTCAGAGTTGGCTAAGTTTACAACTCTAGACCTGACCGGACTTCCCTTGCAAGTAAAAACCGATGGAGCTCTGAGTGTCTTGCTTCCTTCACAGTAACAGGCCACTGAGACAGCGAGGTCTGCAAGTTTAGACGTAACACTCACCATGCTGCCGCCCCCGCAGACAACACCGTAGCAGATGGCCTAGGCCAAGGGTCAGCAACCTTTAACACCCAAAGAGCCACCGGGTTTCCACGCAAAAAAAACACTGGGAGCCGCAAATACTTTTTGAAATCTAAAATGAAGATAACACTGTATATATAGTTTCTTTTACTTTATGCTTTGTGTGAACAACTAAAGTAAGTAAGTAAAGTTTATTTATTAAGTGCTTTTCACAGACAGTCAGTCAAAGCGCAGTACACAAATATTAAATTAAACAATACAATCAATAGACATTGTACACAATGTAAAAGATCAAATGTAAATAATGTAAAGAATATAAAATACGTAGATCAACAAAAGGCTTGTTTGAACAGAAAAGTTTTTAACTGCTTTTTAAAAGAATCCACAGAGCAACTAAGGTGCGTTACTTATGAAATCCATGAAGTGCTACAGA